GTGGACAGAAATTAAAAGAAACAACCTTAGATGCTGCCATCAGTCCGACTGAGGTGTCAACAGGTTCATTTAGCATCATCTGTTAGTGAGCAGCGATGCTGGACAGCCAAGTAATGTGACTCATAAACAGAAGTGAAAAAAGAGGAGAAAGACATCTGCAAGCTTGCAGTAAGGTTAAAAATCAGAGTTTGTTGAAAGATAAATGTTGCTATTCTATGTTTTTTTCAGCATAACCACCACTAAATATATAACCATTTAATGATCACAGTTAGTTTATTGCATCCTTTAGAGCAGATTAAGAGCCTGTTTAGTTTTAAATGCATTTTGGGCGTATGGATCACAAGTGGACAACCCGAGTGTAAAGGACCGTCAAGACACATTGTGATCTAATTACTCAAACCACTTGCTGATGTTGTGTAGGACGCATCTGACTGCATACCCTTTTTAACGCTAATGCTAATGTGCCCGTATTGTCCCCAACAAGGACGCCGTAGGACATGTGGGCTGTCCTCTGCCCTGCCAATCCCAACAGCTGGAACAGCCAGGACAGCTTCATTCTTGAAACAGTTTTGTTTTCTTAGCTAGCCCATGTGAAACAAATCCACCACTTGTATGGGGGCAAACTGATATAACAACTGTGCCCTGGGGCCCTTTGACCTTCTAGCAGAAGTGATGTAGGCAAATCTGAATGCAAGTGGTCAGCTGGAGACACAAATGGAACCAGGTGAGAACCATGTGGCTCAGATGTGTCCAGGTTGCTTAAATACAATGTGAACAGGGTCTTGTACATATTCTAGCAGTAAATACCTAAAAATGTCAGAATTGCTCAGAAAATCCTTGAAAGTATAACTTTGGGTATTTCTGTATTTTTCTGACTGTCAACAAATCTCATAAAAAACATGCAATCCAAACGTATCCCATAACAAGCATTGTGCCTGTTTCAAAGCCTGATTATTCCTCCGTGGCAGCGAGCGCCATTGTTGTCAAAAACTATTAAAAACACATCAGTGCTTCGGCGGCTGGCACGTTCCTTCATCACCACAAACACACACGCTGAAGTTTATTCTGACACACACCATCCTGCTGCCACAAATACTCACCAGAGCACCAAATGGGGATTAATCCTCCACAGAAAAATACAGTCCTGTCATCTATAAATGTCACCGCTTTGAAAACACCACGGCTCCCCATAAGGCCGTTTATTAACCAGTCCTGGCAATAACTTTAATTCAGTTCAAGTTTTATAATTTAATAAAATCTCAGGAGGACCAAGAGCTCTCATTGTGAAATGACAGTTAATGAACCATGATATTAATTAGGCTTTCAAGCAACATGAGCGTTAGACGAATGAACCGATATTTGTGAAGCAAGGCTGTGGACAGCCGATATGTTTATGCCTGAATTTAAAACTTGTGCTTTTAAGGCTAAACGACACGTGTATTATATTGTATGCTAACATTTCTTGTGTAAATCCCACATAACGGTAATTAAAAAGTAGGCTGGAAATATTTAAAAAGTTTAAACTATATTGAAGTAAGGTGTTTAAACCTGAGGCATCATGAGCATTTACAAAGAATAATTTTACCCCACACAGTCATCCTCAAATGTATTCAAACCCTCCCATCAAAGAAGAAAAAAAAACAGCTGTTACTGAAATAAGCTGAAATTGACAAAACTAATAATAAATACAAATTTAATAAAAAATCGTGACATTACTTTTGAATTGTGTTCAACAGAAAAAAATAACAAAAAAACCCAAACAAAACAAGCAAACAATCATGATGGGACCCATAAACTAATATTTTGTTGAACAACCCTTTGAGTCAATCACTGCAATCAAGTGTTTTCTGTAACTCTCCATCAGACTTCTGCACCTGTTGACAGGTATTTTGATTTTGACTCACTGCTCATCAGCAAAGTGCTCTCATTTGTCCAGGGCAGTTTTTTTTTCTTTTTTACAAATTATTCTTTTCAACCACTATTCAAAAGCAATGCCTTATTTCACTAAATTATAATTCAGTAATTTTTTATTTATTATTACTTTGCAGTTTCTACTTATTTGAGTGACTGTTGTGAATTTTGCCTTTTCTTTAATGGAAGGGGATGAATACATTTGAGGACGACTGTATGTCTGCAGAAGTTTACAGTCTTGCAAGAGGCTTCAGTTCCACTAGCATGAAAGACTCCCTCAGATAAAATATATGTATATGATAAAAAATAATTAATTAAACTAATTAAATTATGACCCTGTGTATGACACCTCAGTCAGGCTATGAGTGTTAACACTGGGAAGACGACACATGATCAGGGATGACACCAGTTTGAAAATGGTTGATCTGACATTACTGCAAAGGTTAATATTAAATGAACTGTTGACGTGACTTGTTGTAAACTACAAAAGAAGCTCTTCTTCTTAATAAGACACAAGCTTCCCTAACAACATCCATCCATCCATTATCTATACACCGCTTAATCCTCGTTAGGGTCGCGGGGGGCTGGAGTCTATCCCAGCTGACTTAGGGCGAAGGCAGGGTCCCTAACAACATGATTTGTGAAATTTTGGAGGGATGTCTCCAATGCTGACAGTATGTTTGTCCTGTATTTCTATTTTTCTGCGTGTGTAAAGTTACTGATGCATCATTCATGAATGAGGATGATTCATCACCAACTCTAATAAAGATACCAGCATGCATGCTGTGCTGTCAGAGCCTGGCAGTTCAATACCACAAACTCCACTCACTTCAACTCAAAGTTAAAACAAACAAACAGAAACAACGTTCTTGATGCAAACTGCATTAAAACAGAAGAATAAATTGAACCCTCTATGGTGGTAAAACTGGCGGCAGCAGCTACTTTAATCTGTTTTCTAATTCTTGTTAATAGGAATATCACATAAAAGGTATTTTAAGTGCTTTATAAATGTCGTATCTGTTGCCTCTGATCACAGAGAGGTGACAGAAGTAAGCAAAGCTGTGGTGTCGTTCACACATCGTCTGACCTGTCTACAGACTACAGTCGTCAGCATTTCCTGCTTTCTCCATGTAAATTACCAAATGTTTTGAACGCTTTCTTTATTAACTTCTTTTTCTTTATTACTCTAAAAGTGAGACACTTTAGCTGCTGACACTGTTTGTGTTTCTGTAGAAATGCAGCAGGATCCCTGGATACTAACACGTTTTTTTTGTTTTCCAGCAGATGGTTTCAGTGACTACAGTGACAATATTTTTTAATGAGAGGTGGTTTATTTGTCTCCAGGTGTTGCAAAAATGTAAAACAACTCGGAGGATGGCAGGACCCAAAGCAGCCAGCAGGTCTCAGGCTCAGAGTGCTGGAGCTGTACGAACACCTTGAGGTGGAGGATGAGAACCAGGACGACGTGCTGATGTGAGGTACTGTTTACAGCTTGGTGTCTGTTTTCAACACTAGTGCTGATTCAATACCCTTAATAAAACAATATATTATTTTACACAGGCCACATTAAATTCTGTCTAAAACACGAGCAGCCATCTCTCTTGTATATTCTTGTACATTTTGTTGACTTTTCTTTCCATATCATATTTTGTATATTTTTATTTTATTTTATTTTACTTTATTTTACCTTTATTTATACCCTAGCCTAATATTCTGTGTTGTCTTTTTGCTTTGTTTACCCCCTTTGTTGAATATTCATGCTGCTGTAACAACTGGATTTCCCTCTGGGGATTAATAAAGTCAGTCTAAGTCTAACAAGCAATTGTTACTAGCTTCAGTAATTTTTAACACTCTGTTTAATGAACACGCAAGAAGCCATGTTCACCAATAAAATCTACAGTTGTGAGACCGACCAACATAGTTTTACAGGGCAGACGGTGATTATTGGTAATCTAGAAAGACGGAAAACAAACATTTGGACCCAATATACATTAAATGTTATACAGTAACAGCATGTAACAGCTGGGAAGCTTATCAATGATAATTAGGTTATTTCAATAATAATGATTATTATTATATTATATAGGGGTGATGACATCATAGCCCCATGTGATGCTATGACAGTGTCCTTTGTTTACTGTGAGATCAATCAGTTTGTCTCCTGCAGTTCTCGTCTCTGTTTTGTTGATCTTTTCTCTGCTCTACTCCTTTAATTACCCACTAAGGTTCAGATCTCAAAGCCTTCATAATTATTGTCTTCCAGGCAGTGTTTCAGGCTAATCTGTGGCTGCCTCCTAACTTGGCCGCTGGTTGTACGTATGGCCTTAGCCACTGTGAAAGCAGCTGATGTCCTGATTTGTGGTGACAGCTTGTGTTCTTGTTCAGTTTTTGCAGGTTGTGACTCTGTTAGAGAGACGTGTCTGTCAGTTAGAACACAGTGTTAAAGTTAATCAGGCTTAGAAAAGATGCTACAGGTGCTCCAGACAGCGCTAGCCACGGGCTAAGAGGCACAGCAAACCTCTTAGCGATAGCCTTAGCTTAGCACCATTAGCAGAATAAGTTCCAGCTGCACCGAAACCAAGCAGTAAAGTTTTGGGGTGTCTGCAGGGTAACAGGGAAACTGTGGAAGATTGTGGTGTTTTTTTCAACAACTTTAGCTACATGTGCAGCAATTAGTTAGTAAAAATAACAACAAGGATAATCAGGAAAAAATTTCAGAATATTGGCCCCCTCCACAGAGGACATGCTGTTATTGTTGCATATAATGTTGTATAGCTCTAATGTGTCATTTCAAGCTGCTTAAACAACTAGACAGCAACTATTCTGATAGTCAGTTTGTAATCTTTGTAAACATTTCATGATTCCAGCTTCCCAGTTTGATGATTTTCTGTATTTCTTTGGACTGGGCTTACAGCAGCTATCAGTCACACTTTTCTCACATTTTATAGACCAAACTACCAACATGTTCCTCCTGTACTCAGCCCTGGTTGAACATTTCTTTGCTATTTTTCTGCTGCTGACGTTGGAGAAGTGCCACAAATCAGCTTACACCAGATACCCAACACCCCACAAGCCCTGTTCGCAATTATTTACCTGCACACAGCTCCGTGTCCAGGAACTATGTGACATTCCCCTCCTTGGCAGTAGTCTGGCTGGAGGACACACAGACTCTGACAGGGCAGGCCGTCCACCGACAGGAAGCCTGGCTCACACAGACACTGAGCCTCCTTTGTCCAGCCGTTCACCACGCAGCGAGAAAACTCATCGCAGGCCAGGAACTTGCAGGGATCCGCCTGATCAGCTGCAAGGAGAAGAGGGAGAAAAACGTGGTCGACATTAGTATTCATGAAGAGTTGCATCCACGCCTCCCTCTAACCATCCTCCTCTCTCCGGGAGGTGCCGAGGAGCGTTTGATTTTAATGAGATCCTCAGCTTCTAGTCTGCAGTGAATTTTAAGACTTAGCCTCTGGCGTGGACGGCTTCCGAGACTAAACGTCAGATACACTCCGGGGAAATTAGCATTTTTGGTGATATTCAATGATGAAATGTACGCCGTGTTTATATTCCACAGCGTGTGCTCAGTAGTTATCTGTAAATCATACATACATCAGCATGTGTGTGTCATGCATAAGTCCATATGTGTGGTTTCTGCTGGGGTCAACATGGATGCACATGTAGGGAAAGAGCTTCACATTTCTCATTTATCTCATCACAGATACACTATTATCACGACATGTCAGCTGCTAAGTAACAAGAAATGTCAGTAGAAACATGCTCAAGGTCTTTCTTTGGTTAAAGCTGTTTGGAAATGTTGTTTTTGTAATATTTTCTATCCTACTCAATATCTGTCTTGGTTACATTTGTTTAGTAAGAAAATTTAAGACACTTGTCATCCAAAATATTATTGAAAATGCATGTTTAGAGTTTGTAGAGTATATATATTAAAAATCCATCACTAGGCTGTAAAACCCAGTGTCAGCCTCTGCATTCAAGTGAACCCGAGGACTCTATGCAGGCTGATACGGTAGCGACTTATTGTGGTAGTAGTTTCTATAAAAGGGACCATAATTTACTAAATGTACATCATGCTGTATTGACAGAGACTTAAAATCTTCTCCTTCCCAGCAACTGCAGACAGATATTTTCACCAAACAAGTCAACAACCAAATGGTAGAGAAACTCACAGTAATCTTCTGCACAATGAATTCAGACTTCAGAAGTGCACCTGACATAAACTTTTGGTCACTTGGGAGCAGTACAACAAGCTGCAAACATAACACTGACATATGATGGCCTAATGAAAAATGATATGCTGATTTTACTAGCCAACAGATGCACTGCATATTGATGAACATGGCCGCTCTCCTTTGAGCTCTGTTTTGGTCTCCACCAACTCCTGATCTGGTTCCTTTGGGGCTGCACTGTCTCCACCAGCTACTTTTCAAGCTAATTATAATCTTGTTTTTACCAACATATATTTGTTGACAACCGCTGTAATGCCAGCGTCACTGCTTACGTATCTGTTTGCATTCTTAGTACGACGCGTCACAATATTGTGCATGTTGAGATCAATGCAAAGACAATGTCAGTGACAACGTGGTGGTTTCTCAGCTGAAAAAGCTCTATGACTTTCTTTTCAAAACTTTCCACAGTTGTGGTGAAACAAAGCTGCTGCTGATCTCACTCTCTGGCCAGTACGGTGTGTTTGTGTTCATTATGAAGGACATGTACAAGCTATGCACCCAAGAAGCCCTGCATATGCGAGAAAGCAGACGAAAACGTAGTCAGAAGCAAGAAACACTGATCCAAACAGTAAAGCTGTGGCTTTGAAATGAAAACAATGAACTTAAAGAAGCTGCAGCACTAATTCTCTGAGGGTTTAGCACTGTGAACAACCACTTTTCACAAACAAAGTAATTTGATCAATTGTTAAAACTATTGATTAAAGCAGCTTTGAACGCTGTGGCAGGTACTTTAATCATCTAACTACTCTTTCCATCTGTCAGTTGATGCAAGTTTTCTGCAATTTCCCTTAGGAGATCAATAAAGTACTCTACGTATCTATCTGTGTACGGCTGAGTGCAGTATTAAGCGTTCTGTACGTCCCGGCCTTCTGTACAACACAACTGTTTCAGCAGAAACCCCTATCAAGATTTTGCTGAAACACAATGGTCTGCCTCCGAGACAAAAGACGTGGCAGCAGCACATCTCCTCTCTGCAGCTCACGTCTTGTCTTCATCACTTTTATTTCAGCCCTATAACGTTCTCTACAAACCCACCGTGTGCTGGTGGATGTGACGTATAGACCTAATTACTGAGTCTATTTTAATGTGTTTGTGATCTCTGCTCCCTGCCTCAGATTCATCTGTGGAGAATATTACAACAAAAAGCATATGGATTCCAAGCCGCATGCAAAGAAGCACTGCTGCTACTACGAGGGGGCTTATTATGGGATGCTGGCTTTGTTTTATCTCAAGCATTAACTGATATCATGAGACATCATTAAGCATCACTATGTTGCAGTTGCCAAGAGAGAAGACCTTCAGACCTGCTCAGACCTTGTTTTTTCCATAGTGTGTTACGTACAACCGCGTACAATAAGCATTATGAGACAAATCATTTGCTGCCCACTTAAGTCTGACAACAATAAAACACTGACATTCATGAAAAGTGTTGTTGCCAATTCACAAAGCGTGCTGGGTTATGTAGCATTAATGCTTCTAGGAATGTGGATGTTTAAAGTGTGTCTTTCAGAGTCAGTCAGCGCTAAACGTGTTTAGTTGAACCTGCAGGAGTTTCTGCAGGCTGCTATGACATTTGCTGCTGCCATTAAGGAAATATAGTCATGTTTTACGTGTCTCATCTTTTACTTCTAGGAGAGAAAAGGCTTCTTGTTTTCATGATATCTCAGAGAAACTTTTTCACTAGTCGCTGTCGTGTTGTCCTCAAAAAACACAACGACTTAAAAAGGGGAGTTATGGATCAGGCTCGTCCTAAATCTGGGCCAGGCCAGTGGCAGCAATCCTTTTTGATCACAACATTGCGAAATCCTGGAGGGACAGATCGACTAGAAAGGAAAGATGTATCATGACCATTTGACATTGTCCCCGTGGAAACACACTGCAGTGTTTTCGGTAATCGAACTTGTTGGTGTTTCGTGCTGTTAAAATCACTCTGTACCTGGTTCAACGTCCAGAGAGTGAGTGTCGATCTGGATGTGTAGGTTCTTGGAGGCCGCAGAGCAGAAATCCTCCAGGACACAGTGGACGGCCTCGGTGATGTTGTACGGCACCGACTTGGCAAACTTCATCTTGCTGTTAACGACCACGCTGCCTTTCCTGAAGTTAAGGATCTCCAGTTTCTTGAAGCCCGTCAGGTTCGCCTGCAGGAACGGCAGCAGCTGCAGGGAGAAGCAGAGATAAACCACTTTGTAGTCCATTTCTGTCACTTGGAAACAGTTTTGATCCTGAATATCTGTGAGGCCATGTGGGAGTCTGAGTGTTCCTTAGAGGAAAGAAGCTGTTAAACATTTGACAGTTAATTTGATATTAATGACCAAGTGTTTGGTTTCATTTATCAAATCGCCTCATCTGTTATACATGAGAAGCTGCATTACTGATTCACGCAAGAAAGACAAAACCTCAGTCAATTTTTCAGAAATTATTCAACCATTACAGAAACTGCACAAAACAAAACTGCAGGGAAAAAAAAGCAAATTAAAATACATGTAAATGCAGCTTTCAGGCGATTAAACTGTCTTATCATGAATTCTACTTCGTCTCTTCTGTCTAAACTGAATGAGGTCATAAATAACTTGATGCTTCCCTGCTCACATAATTCAAATGTTTTATGCCCGTGCAACCAAAAGCCTTGAGCGCTGTGTGAACTGATACAGTCTGATTCTAACCTACATTTCATGTGAATGCCTGAATTTCTTTTCATAAATCAATAGATTAATGTGTTTTTCCAAACGTTCCAGTGATTACAGTGTTTTCCATTCTTGAATTAAAGATTTATATTGTCACGAGTTGTAAAGAACACATAACGTCTTTTAAATCATATACACATTTCTCAGAGGAAAAGCTGCTCTGGAGAAAGAAATCGTCCAAGTGGCTGAGTTAATCCTATGTGAGCAGATGTGGAAAGAGATTAAAGTAATATTTTCAAACCTTGCAGCCTTTTTGTGATGTGTGGAAATGTTCCTTTAAACCAGAAAGCAAATCTGAAAATTCATATCTCCTCAGAGGCTCCTTTAGTTTTCAGCGCAAGCATTCAAAATGAGTTTGCATTGATTTTAATGTGGACACTATTATGAAATGAATTAAATCAAAGTTTATAATGGGGAAAGTTTGTTACAGATAACATGGTTTCTTCAGTGGGTTTGCATTTGTACTAAAATTTGTCGTGGCAGAAGCTAGATGTTGAGTCATTTCTGATTTATTCTTCCCTGTTTCTACTGTTCTGCACGCTTACTAACCAGTTTGAGTTCATTTGATTCAGTTTGTTACGTTTATTTTTATATATAGATAGATAAATCTGAAAAATACGTTTATCTCATACAAAGAACAGATGTTTTTACCAGAGCTAGCCTGACAAACTGCTTTCTAGATATAGTCTGAGTGTAAATAGGCACAAAGACTCCTGTTACTACTACAACTACTACTAATGCACTTAATACTAAATGTTGAGGGGAGGCAGTCGACTTATTGCACCTTGAAGATTTATTGTGACTGAACATACCACTCAACCACAACTTTAAAACTATCTGTCTAATATTGTGTGCGTCTCCAGATTGGGATCTGAGGAGTTTCAAGACTGGTTTAACATCTACAGATTTTTGTTGTCTTCCTCAAACCATGGCTATGGCCAAGCCTCCAAACCACAATTCAATCCACACTGGAACCCCTTCAGTTTGCATCACTGCCTAACAGATAATGGACCCCATCTGTACTTCTCTACACACTTGGAAAAACGGAGTTGCATTTAGCACAGCCATTCCCAGCATACGCCCATTAAAACTGTTTAACTTCAGACTGAACACTAACTCTACGACTGGATCTACAGACTTCCCCATCCACTGACCACAGTCTGTCAGTATTGGAAACATCACTTCCAGGACACCAGTAAAGAACACTGGAGCTATTCAGGGTTGTGTACTTACGTCCCTTGCTAAAAACACTCTACCACAATGATGTTACCACCAGTGAGAATATTCTCACTCTCAAATTTGCGGCAGCAGATCAAAAACAACAACGCAGGTTACCACAGGACGAAAATCTTATGCTGGGATGTCAAAACAACACCTTGACACTCAATGAGAGCAAAACTATGAAAGTGATGGACATGAGGAAGGAGAGAAGCCATCCACATCACAACTTGCTGTGTATCAGTGGGTCAAAGTGGAGAGGGACCACACCTTTAAGTTCCTCGGGATCCACAACAGTGAGGACTTCACCTGGTTAATCAAGAAAGCACAGCAGAGGATGCACTTCCTGAGGAGGCTGAGGAAACTTAAACTGGCACCATTACTCCTCTGCAGCTTCTAGCAGTGTACTACTGAGATCATTCTCACTGGCAGCATCGCTGTATGGTAGAGGTGGACCGTAAGTGCCTGCAGAGTGATCAAACCAGTCTAGCACATAACAGGATGTGCCCTCTGCAGGATGTCTGTCAGCGGAGAGGGCTCAGAAGTCCAACAACATCATCAAGGACCTCACCCACCAGCACTCAGCACAGTTCTGCCATCTGGCAGACGCTACAGGAGTCTGAAATGCAGAACCTTAACATTCAAGGACAGTTTTCTAACCTCCGGCGAGAACACTGATGGACGCTTCCAAGCCAGTGCCCCAACGACCGCCCTTCGCCTCCCCACGTCACAGATCAAAGGACTTAATGCATTTTGCCACTACTGTATGCTTTTCTACATCTGACCTTTTTTCACACTAAACATTGCATATGCCAGTTTTTCTGTACATACCCTTTGACACTGCTCTTTGTATATTCAGTATTTGCCCTTCTCAGTATGTATGAGTAGATATAAGTGATGAGTGCATTTGAATGAGTGCATTCTGTAAGCAGGTTAATCAAGGCGCAGGGTTGAGACACAGCGTGTGGAGGGTTCCAGTGCACTGATGACTTGTTTATGACTGCACATGACAATAAAAGCCATCGAATCGCATTTGAAGAGGCCAAAACGTGGTACAAAGGTTTTTACTTCTTTGGTTTTGTTTACTCTTAAAATAAAGTGGGAGGAGGTTGCTGGGGAAGAAAATCTAAATCTAAATTTTGCTCACTTCTTGTCAGAATGGGACACTGACACTGCAGCAGAAACTTCATGTATCCTTTGACAAAATGTGTGTATTCTATTAGGAGACCAACAGATATTTCAAAGTTTGTATAAAACATGGAAGCTGGAAACACTGACTCACTGTACAATTACTTATTTAGTTACCTGGGTTAAGTTTCCACTCTGCCGTCCCACATTTTGTTGTTTTGCTGTCTGTAACCGTACATACGTATACAGATTTAGTCATGAGGTTTTTTTTTTGCTCTTAACCACTGTGTTCAAGTTAAGCTGAATCTACATAAACACAAACATATCAAGGATGGTTACTTTACATCTAACAAACAGTGATGGTCATTTTGTCATGACAACACTGACTGCAAATGTAACTATGATATATGTATGTGTGTGTGTGTGTGTGTGGTGTGAGTGTGTCAGGATAACGTGTCTTGAAATGATAAACACATTTAGAAGTGGGACTGACAGCGACTGCCACTGATGTGATTATGTTGTTTACTGAGGAGCTGCAGTAAAGCAGCACACTGCACATCGGTTGCTTCAATGTGTTTCCGTCATCACTTTTCTTCACTTATTTCTTCTGTCATCGAGGTTATTTTTTTAAAGACTGTCCTCACTTCAAAACAGACACCACATCAACAAATCTTTAAAAAGTGCAGTTTAACTCACGTACACTCTCCCCAAAAACACCCCACAGGTGCCACATTTCTGCACAATCAAGCTAAAAAAGAAGACGAAGAAGAAGAAAGAAACAGAAGCTATTTTCTTGAATTCCCATGCGGCCATACATAATTACCTCTATTGCTGCAGTTAACAAAACTGTTCAGCCAAATGAATAGAAAAATCCATTCAGAAGCTGTGGGTCTCTTAAGGACGTTTTTTTTTACGAGGCGATATCTATAGGCCTGAGCCAATATTTTCTATTCATGTGCTAATTACTGTGTTTCAGTGTCTCGATTAATTTTTTTTTACTGCCGTCAGCAATAAACAGCAGCAGGCCTGATGATGCAGAGAAACAGACGAGAAGGATGATAGTTCGATTCCTTAAGTTTAACTGATTTGAGCTCCTTAAATTTCTCACTGAGAGGGAAACAGTGTGACTACATATTTAATCAAAGCAATGAGTCTAAGAAGAGGCTGACAAGGCTTGGTGACAAACTGCTGACCAAACTGATTAACTAACACACTAACAAGCCATGAGCTCGCCAGTAATAGTCAGTCAATCTGATTTTCTTCCGATTATCTCTGCACTTTGTCCTTTATTCCCTCCAGGCGTTTTGTTCACAGGATTGTTCATCATTGCATCCAATAAAGATGCTGACTGAAGACTAGGGAGTCTCTGGAGTGATTATCGTCATTTAGCGAGCTTCACGTAATTTATTCAAATAACGTATTTGTTCAGAAGACTCCAGTCTCATTACTGTTTAGAAACCATGTTTTCCTGTGAACCCATTTCAGTCGCTTATAAGCTAGAACTATTTTAAAGTCTCCAGATCTTCATGTACTCAAAGGTTTGAAAGTTCCTAGGTCAAGCTTTGTATAGATTAACTTGACAAGCACTAATTGAGCTGCTTCCACTGAAATGAACAGCTATCGCTACACATTTGCTATTTTCAACGCAGGTGTGACTGTGCAGTCACAACCAGTAATTGTCTGATTGACATTCACAGCAGCACCGACATTTAAAAACATCTCATTTTAGAGGCTTTTTATCAGCATTAAACTGTATGGTTGTGATATAATGGCAGGCTTTTCGAAATGCTCAACAAGAAGTAGCATTTTCTGTTGTGGAATAAACATTTAATAGTGGCCTTGTGGGCTCCATTTAAGCACTAAAAGGAAAAACATCATCATATACAGTAAAATGATGACTGATCTGCTCCCGATTTAAATAGCGGTTGTTGCTCAAACTGAGCACTTCTGCAAACTCACTGTTCTGCAGCCAGGCTTCTATTTTAAACAAAATACTGTAATTATTACCAATTGATTCACCTTTCCAGGCACAGTCATTTCACATTAAAAGCCTTCCACAGCTCAGGGGCTATAATCCCTCTCTTTCCTGGGAGTTCTGTTTCTTTGTTTTTTATGTGAAACGTCTGTCAGGAAGTGTGGAATTTTAACCAACAGCAATAAACTAGTTCAAAACCTCTGGACCTGGAGCGATCGCGGCGATGTGTTGTCCTAACCCGAACCCTAACTACTGAATGGGGACAGTGTTTATGTTGAAGAGGATTTACTCAAGAGCAGTGGAGCGATGTGTATGTTGGTGTTTATTTGGAAACTAGATTTATTCAAGAAGAAATGGTGAAACAATAAATGATAAAACTTGAGGAGAATAATGTCAGAATATTGGGTTTGTTGTCCATTTAAGTTAGCATCTAAGATAAACCATGCAAAGCAATATACAGGTGGGTGAAGGAACACCTGGGACAATGGAGTAGAGTAGATGCTTTCACACAGGCATGGAGACTCACCAAATGAGCCACTGAAACATTACTACAGCTGAACGATGGGACATCAAAACTGTTCCATAATCATGTAGGTTTAAGTATATCTTAGACTTGTGTCATTACTGTGTTTTTACTATGTTAATACAGGATTATTACTATGGTATTGTAAGCCTTACCAAGCTGTATTTTGTTTGTTTTGTTGTTTTTTAAAAGTGCAAACATTAGCTTACAACTATGTGTAGAAACCCGTTACTTAAACTTAATTTCTCTCCACAGTTTTCCCTCACAAGGCAATATACACAATGAGGATTTTGGATCGTATAGTGCAAAATATTTCTTAGAATTCAACAACCAGTCACTCCTCATCCATTCTTCGACACGTACAAGAGACAATGATGACTAGAAGTGAGGATTGCATCTCTGATTGGTAGACCACTAATTCTTCTTAAGTAGAAGGTTGGAATACTAGCCACCCAGAATCTCTAGATTAGAAACAACATTCTGTTTTTGCAACTAGAAAGAGTTAGATTCAGTCTAACGGTATTTAGTTTTTTCCCCACAGGCAAACAAAAGCAAAACAAAGCTTCATTTCATCCTCAGCACATCTGAAAGCAAACAGCTCTTTATCTTAATTTGTACCAACTAGTGCAAGTGATCAATACATCGTTACATAAATACTGGCTGTGCCTCTTTATTTTGTCCCTGCTTCCAGCTTGAACGCTGGATGAATGCATGTTGTGATTGATTTTTATTCATTCTGATTTATTTCAGTGCTGCTATCATGTTTGCTGACTTTGCATGTTCTCGATCTGTTTAATATTCACATCTGGGAGTTTCTTCATACAACCACCGACTTTTAATAGCGGCCACTGGGAACTTCCTAATGCAACTGATGAATTATAGCTACATAACAAGTTTGTAAAATGCATCCACACCAGAGAAATGGATTCATAGAATCAATGAATACAAATGATGCCATTTTTGAACATAACGCAACGTCCAATGAGAAACAGAGCTTCTCATTTTATCTCCAAACGCATAAAGAAGCATTTGTGCCGCAATCAAGTTTTTTTTCAAAACACGGCACATACTGAATACACAGTGTGCTCTGGCTGCACGGTTAATCAAATTTTAATCACAATTATGGCTTTCCTCCGTTAAATGATTGACATTACTGACTGTAATATCAATGTTTGAAATGCTCCGCTCAGAAACCAGTCATTGTGCATTAAATCACTTGGTTTTAGTCTAAATAAATCTGACATTAGAACATTATTTAACTCTTTTTTAAGTCATTTTTGTTGCACTCCTGTCAGAGCTGCTGGGCTGCAGTAACTGAGTGGAGACTAGAGGCTTCTCTGTGCACAGGCGCCGAGCTAGCGCCTAATGTATCCTGCATATGAGGCGTTTAGGGAACACTGGTAATTTGTAGTGTCTGTCAATTAGCACACGTTCAGCTTATGAAAGTTTTAGTTTTGAGTTTCAGTTTCGGGTGTTCGTATTCATTTATAGTTTACATTCAGGATATGCAGTGAATTCAGGGGAAGAAGTCATATTTTGACTCTAAGATTTGTGCGTTAGCAGAAATGTCAACAACATTAAGGTGAAAGCAGTGTTCTGTTTGTCAAACTGTTGGAAAAAAAACAAGTTCCTAAAATCAATAATCATGATGGCATGATCATTTCTGCCATAACTGTGCAGCGCTACAGTACTCTACATGTAAATCATCTTGACATCGCTGTGATCAACTGGATATTTTTATTTATTTATTTATTTTAAGTTTGAATTGATGTAGGACGAAACAAGCAATCTGAAGACATTCCCTTTGGCTTTGGGAATTGTGATGGACAGTTTTCACTTGTTTTAAAGACAAAACTATTGATGAGTTACTCAAACAACGAATCATCAATAAAAAAAAAACAAAAATAACCACTAGCTGTAGCCCTGCGTATTTGTTAAGTAAAATCTGATTTTAAAAGCTAGATTCTTGAAATGTTGCTGGATTCAGAGATTCCCACCACAAAGAGAAACTCCAACGCTGCCATACTAATCCAGATATTTCAAAACAGCTGAGTACAGGCTGCCAAAATGGCATCTGAATAAAACTGCTGCCTGGCTGCTAATTGAAGGGATTTACTTACTTGTTAAGGGAGGAGCACTAATCAGAGTTGCATTCAAATGAGACTAATAAAAAAACAAGTAAAAGGGAGAGCATGTGCAAGTATTAAACTGAGTATTTAGGCTGATAAAGTGTTTGATGATAGAAATAACGGTTGAGTTCTCTTCTTGAGATTGTATTTGATGGAAACTTTCAGATGAAGGACACTGACAGTTGCTGTAAATGTCTAAATAAAGCTGCAGTGAAAAACAGGGACTTTTACCGTCTGCATACGTAAACAACCCCAGTTCAATGTCTCTAAAAAGTCATGAAACCATCTACAGTATGTTAATATTTCTCTCGCAGAGAAAGCACAACAGAGAGTGTCATCTATTTATGCCTATATTCCCATGGCATGTTTTCCCTGCCTCATTTATGCAGCTGAGTCATTGTTTGGAGTAAAATAAAGGCTGTATTGTACCTGCCTGAGCTTGAAATTATTCTCTCTCTTCCCCTATTCATCTGAAACATCAAAACATATCCATTCTCGACACAACAACCTGCAGGTCTAATTCTGAGGGCTCCTGGAGAGCTTGCTCAGAATGAAAACAAAGACACAAATGAACAGGGCAGCTGCTCATGTTCATTAATTGTCTTTCTGTTTTAGCCCTCAAACCTTAATGAAATTCATAGAAGAATGTCACACACTAACCAGACTTGTCAAAAGCATTACCCCCGGGATTGCTTTTCTTTAATGTCACAAGATATAATAAAGTGGTCAATATACACTAAATATCTGTATTTATAGACTATTAATTAGGAATGTAGAAAAAAAAACATGCTGGCATCAAAGCTCAGCAAAATCAGCTCCAAATGGGTCTCGTTTTGGATATAGTTTCTTTGTGAAGCAGCTATAATCAAACTGAATGTATGAAATGACTTGACAAGTATCTCTGGTTGTGATGAATGTACAGAAGATTAGAAGATGAATGTGCAGTTCCCCTCACCTTTACAGAGCTTTACAGTCAGTTCCAACTCACTGTTCAGCTGTCCAGCTGCAGCTTTACTCTCCAAGCTCTCTTTGGCATGTTCATGGTGTAGAAAAAAAGCTCAAAAAACTCTCTGTGCACTACCTGCTCAGCAGCAGACGGACACAGTCAGAGACAAGCTGGTGAAAACTGTGGAACATTTGGCAGCTAAAGAGCCAGACACTTCCCCTCAGGAGTTCATAGCAGACCGAAAAGATTTAGAGGACGAGGACCATTTTCTTGATGTTGGATTAAACAATAAGTCGAAGCTGTGTTCACAGCTAATGAAATGTAAATAAAATTTAAGGTTTCAAGGATTGCAACCTTCTATAACTCCTAAAGGAAATTAAGTTTTGTTAATTCACATAAGCAGTGTAGACAACAACTCAATTTATTACATGAATTATTTCAATGTAGTTAATTAAGCTAAATATGGGATTTTGGTCACATAACAATTTATCTCCATTACAACTGATCAACTCAGTTCCCTAAGGAAGGCCGCCAAATGTGGGTGAAAGCTTTGCAAATAGCAAGGCTTGTTACTCAGTTAATCATATATTTTGGTGCCTTACAAAGGACTTTGTGGAATTACACAACAACTAACACAACACAGGTGTTCTAATAAAGTGTTTAAAGTGTGTATTTAATTATGTTTCAACTAGATTTGGTCAAAAAGTGCAAAGAAAATTGATGTTTAGTCTTTCAGATCACTTTTGCAGCTACATTCTGGATCTGTTTTGAGTCATGGTCCTATTTAAAAACTAGGTTTTGTCATCTCATTATTCAAGTTACTCCCTGTCCATTAATTAATGTAAAAACTAAAAAAAAAAATAAATAAAAACTCAACTCTGTCCTTTAAAGTTTCACATTCAGAAGTTTTTTGTTTGTTTGTTTGTTTGTTTTTTCCATGGAAACAATCCTTCTTGTCTTAAACTTGTTGAGATGTAACTCTAGAATGTGCAGATCTATGATGGCCCTGCTTCTTTCTTCACTCACCTCTCCTCACTCGCTGCACCTGAAGCACACAAGCTCACCTATTGCTCCTCTCTATCACTGTAACACTGCGCTGACAGTTAACATGACATTAGTTTCACTGCCCTGCTTCAAAGACAAGAAAAGTTTTCTGGCACTTCTCAACGGCCATCTGTTTTCCTACTCACCACATCTAAGAAGGTATTCTCCAGCGATCTGTACTCTGATGACGTCTTGTTGAAAAGGTCCTCAGAAAAGTCCAGGTTGGTGACGCGCAGGCTGAAGAACACCACCAGCTCCCGGCCGTGACTGGCCGTGGTCGTGGTGGGCGTGGTCAGATATCTCACCGGAGGAGGGGCTGTGACGCTGACAGTGCTGTGTTCCTCTCCCACAGATACGAAACCACTCCCCTCATCAGGAAGCTCGTTTGACTCTGTGGCTGGCATGTCTGTTTGATCCAGCTCCACAGCCAGGTCCTGAACGGCCTCATCAATGACTTCCTGGGTGGCGGCTGGTGGGCTGGTGTGGCTTTCACCTCCTTTCTTCACTGCCTCTTCCAAGTCCTCATCAATAATGACAACAGCTGGCTCACTGTGCGCCAACTCAGCCTCCGGCTCAGTGCTATCATCCTCTGAAGACTCAGCAGAAGAAGGGATTACAGATTGCTCTGCTACCTCAAAGAGTCCAGAGTCTACAGTCGGGAGAGGTGAGGACACTTCAGACAGATCGACAGGAGCTGCTGGAGGTATGGGGAAGGAGTCTGGGACTGGTGCCGCCGTCACACTGATGTCTCTTTTTGGGGATGAATCACTTTCCTGCGTCTCCTCCAGCAAATCTTCTGTGACTTTTGTGCCCTCTGATGTGTCTTGCTTGTCTGGAGCTGTCACTTCTTTGAAATGTCAGGCAAAAAGGCTGAATTAAGTCATGAGTGCTCACAAAGGATTTCCACAAATTACCAAAATGTGCCTGACGAGTGAATAATACATAACACATTTAAATTGTGTAATGCAGAATCCTCAGTCTGAATCCCCACGACTGCACTGAGATAATGCCTTAGAGATTACTCTTTGAGATGATTCATAAATCCTGTTAAACAATCAAAATATAATCTTTGTTACAGCATATATTTCATTATCATCAGTATTGAAAACATAATGAAGGGTAAAATGTCTTGTGTTTGCAGCATTTTAACAGCGGAGATCACATTTCAGCAGGCGTGCAGCCCTTAAGATAGAACATCAGTATGTCAGGGGATCCTTAATTATCTAAAGTAATGTCAGTGCACATCTCTATTACCATAATTGATTGCCTTTAATCGCATTATATTTCATGCTTAGTACACCAACCGGTGCCTGCTCACCTGCGATATGAGAGGTTGTTTCGAAGTGTACATCACTCTTGGTTGTTTCGGTCGTCATGACGACAGCGATGTCACTCTCCAGCTGAGCGTCGATGCTGTCAACATCCTCCTCAATGTGAAAATCATCGATGATGGGATACTCCTGGTCAGGCTCACTTACATCCTCGATGGGAGGCTGGGTGTCTATGGGCATGATGGGTAAATTATTGTCCTCTGACGGGTGGTGATAGTCGGGTCCGGCAGGATGCATGAACTCGTTATTTTCAACATGAACAGCATCCTCTCCGAAGTGAAGGTCTTCCATATCATCCAAGGGGTGAAGGATTTTAATTGATTCAGCGGGTGGCTCAGTAATGTCAGGCTCTGGTTCTAAAATGTCAACGAGGCCCTCCTCTGGGTGTGTTTCTGGGACATCAACACCTTCCTCTTCTGATTCTGGGATCTCAACGACTATCTCCTCTTTTGATTCTGGCTCTGAAACCTCAGGTAGCTGTTCCACTGGAGATAAAACATCAACTGTACTTTTGTCTGGTTCTGATGCTTCCTCTGGTTCTGGATTCTCAACTACCTCCTCCTCAGCTTCAGGAGGGAGGTGTGGTTCTGAAATGTCCACTGGCTCTTCATCTAGAACTGGGACCACAGCCACTTCTTCTTCCGGTTTTACATCCTCAACAACCTCTATTTCAAGTTTTGGGATTTCAGTTACATCTAGTACTACTTCTGGTTCTTTCTCTGCTGCTGGTTCTGGAGCTAACTTTACAACTTCTACCACATTTTCACTTGGTTCTGAAACTCCTTGCACCTCTTCTGATTCTTCCGTACCTACTTCCTCAGCTCCGATTTCTATCACTTCAGCTACATGGCTATCCTCTTCTGGCACAGATTCTGTTTCTGGTTTCGACAAGTCTAATACACCATCACTTGGCCCTGGAGCTTGAGCAACATCTTCCACATCCAAAACCTCAACCACTTCCGTCCCTGTTTTGGCAACTTCATCCTCTGGTGCTGGAATGTCAATGACTTCTTCCTCTACAACTGGTACAATCACATCAAATCTCTCCTCCTCACTCGCTTCTGCTTCAGATTCAGAAACCTTCAGCACTGGTTCTTCTGATCCTGCAACTTCAACCACTTCTTCTTCTGGCTCTGAAACTTCCTCATCTGCATGCTCACCAGGTTCTGACTCTTCTTTAAGTTCTGGAACCTGTTCTGAATCTTCCACCGCATCTTTTGTTTTTGGAGCTTTTTCTACTTCTTCTGTGATTTCACCAATTTCCTCTTCTGTTTGCAAAACCTCAACTGCACTATCATCTGGTTCTGCCTCTGCTTGTGATTCTTCTAGCTCAAAAACTTCAAATGGTTTTGAAATGTCAAGCTCCTTCTCCTCTGTTCCTGGAACATTAACTATGACTTCTGCTGGCTCTGAAACTGCAATCTCTTCATGAGTTTCAACTACTGAATCTTCCTCTGGTTCTAAAACTTCAACTGCGTCTGTATCTGGCTCTGAAACTTCAGCTACATCCGGCTTTGAAACTTCAGCTACTTCTTGCTCAGAATCCGAAACTTCAGTTACATCTGGCTCTGAAACATCAGCTACTTCTGTATCTGAATCTGACATGTCAGCTACATCAAGCTCTGCAACGTCAGCTACATCTGGCTCTAAAATGTCAGCTACTTCTTTGTGCGAATCTAATACGTCAGCTGCATTGGGCTCTGAAACATCGGCTACATCTGGCTCTGAAACGTCGGCTACATCCGGCTCTGAAACTTCAACTGCTTCTTTGTCTGACTCTAAAACTTCAGCTCCGTCTTCATTTGGCTCTAAAATTTTAGTTGCTTCCACCTCTGGTTCAAAAACTTCAATTTGTTCAGGTGTCGGCTGCAAAACCTCGAGAACCTTATCATCAGTTTCGATAACCAATTCTTCCTCTGCTTCAAGCAGTTTAACTTCAGTTTCCATCTCTGAAGCATCCTGCGCCTCAGTTTCAAAAATATCGCCAGGTTCATGGGGTTCAGAGAAACCCAAGTCTACCTCCTCCTCATCTGGAAGAGCATTAACTTCTTCGTCTTCTTGAGGGTTGATTGCTGGCTCTGTGGGCGGCTGGCCTGTGATGGCTGAGAGTGTCGTGATGGGGAGTCCAGCATCAGACAGCTCCTCTCCAGCGGGAGTGAATAAAATCTGAGTGGTGGGGGTAACCTGGACAACATCTAAGCTAGGATTTTCTCTGCCCTCATCAACAGGCGTCAGGTCTTCCTCTGGTATCAGGTTGGGAGACAGACTGACGTATGGAGCATCAGTCGCCACCTCCAGAATCAAGGGAGGGGAAAGGGTCGGTATGTAGTCGCGCACAAGTTCGCCGGTTTCGTCGTGATGAATGGTTTCAATCTTATGTGAAATGATCAGCAATTCTTCTTCCTCCTCTTCTTCATTTGTGGGCTCAGCCTCACTGTCATAAATTGCCTCTGACTCATCAGTATGGTCCTCGGAGGCTGGGGGTTGATCGCTGCTCTCTACAATCCCATCAGTCACCGCCGTTGTCTCTTCATCTGGGACAGCCGTGGGATCGAGCAGAGTCACCAGGGCATTTTCCTTCTCCAGTGGGGTTAGGGGAACCACCAGCCGAGGTTTATCAACTTCTGGTTCGTCTGTGAAAACTTCAAACTCGTTATGTGAATCCGGCTCACTGGACTCACTGGACTGTGGAGAGACGATAAAACAAAATGACATAATGGTTGCAATGACAAAAAGACATATGATGGTACACAAAGTGTTCTACAAACCGAACTTATACACATTTAACTCCAAAGATCAAATGCTATTCAGAGATCAGTGGCTGCCAGTCATGTGACACCACAAACCTCTGAGCAATCACATTCAATTACGACTGATTTTAGCCATTTCAATTAAGGTATGCAAGTAATTCAAAATAGTGCAGGAGCCATAGCAAAGCAAACTGTTGTGTTTTTAAATACCCACCTGTCTTCACACTTCTTCCAAAATCAATTGCAAAAGCTCTTACCTCATTCACTACTTGGACTGAAGAGGTTGATGTCAGTGCTGGCAGGACGATCATTTCTGTCAAAAAAAAAAAAAAAAAAAAGCTTGAGTCAAACCAAACCCCATAAATTATTTATCTGTTCCTACAAGCTTGCTGTAGTGGATATAGGATCAAGGCATTTTAAATTGCTGACATATACAGTATTTTACATTTAAAAGTTAGAACAGCAAAATGGAAATGTTAACACTGTACCTGGTTCGAAGTTAAGCGAGTCCAGATCGATTGGCAGGGAGGCCTCCTCACGTAACGCCTTGGTCACCATTTCCCTGAGTCCAGAGCCGTCTGTGGACTCGGGTGCACCGGTCGCCGTCTCTGAATTCTCAGAGTTGGTTTGAGGGGAATTAATCTCAAAGACCAGAGAGTAGTGCACTGAGATTCCGCCGGGCCTGCAATTGGAGACGTTATCTTTGATTGAGAGTTGACCGGTGTGATATTTCACTCTAACTGTATTGATCAACAAATCCATAACGACCCCATTCTACTACTACTGCTGTGGGGATCTTGTGCTTTTAGCCTTCGTTTAAATCTCTAATGTAAAATAAAGAAAGTTTAATGCATCAATGTTCTGAAAATCTTAATGGATTAAAAGGATTGTGACTCTCAGCATGGAGGCCCTCAGTGTCAAACACAGCAGCTGACCCCCAAAGGCAGTGAAACGCTGTGTGGCGGTGCAATGACAAGTAGCACTTATAAATGCCAGGCATGAATATCTATAGATCCATTTTTTTTAAAAGGAGGCTGCATCAAACCTTCATCTATATTCTGCACAGTCAGTGTCATCAAGAGAGAACAAGCTGATTTGCTCGACGTGACTGATTAGAATGACGATGATGTGAGCTTTGTTGCTTTTGTGTGAACTTGTGTCTGCCATGAGAAAGCACTTCTTCATTAGGCTGCAGTGGTGGTTCTGAAACATCCACATCTTTCTATTGCTGAGTCAGACAGCCTCTTGTCTCGAGAGTCCCATATCTGGAAACGTACACCTCTGCTGCTTTCTATATGTGGCTGCTGTCTCGAATTTTCATATATTTCAAGTGTTCTTTGCGGGATATTTCCTTGCGTTTCCAACAGCTGCTACTGTGTGCTGTTGCCACATGCGAGTCATTTTACAGGGTGACAAGTAGTTTGTGTCTACACCCACATCCTGCTGTTGAAAATCCTACACCTGTTGCCAGTCATGTCATCACCTGGCATCTAATCCAAGCATCGAAGTCGAGCTTTTCTTTGTTCTTCTTCTGCTCTGATGAAGTCAGTCGAGGCACGTGGGTGCAGCCTACATGATAAAGGGTTTCTTTATTTTCTCAATTTTCAAGCAGAGAAATTTGCCTTGAACTTTTCTTCTGGGAAGATCACTCTTCCTGAATACAAGCAAAACAGCTTTATTCTTTCCCTTTTGCCTTTTTATGTTTACACCTCCGTTTCAAAGACCTCATCTTTTATCTGATGTACAAAGCGTTGGCGTGTTTTTCCCCACTTCTGTTCTTCCATTTTAACCTCCTTTTCCAAAATGACGTCAACTTGAAGCCAAACTGATAAACAGGCGTTTATGTTGAAAATGAGCCAAAGGTGAAATCATTCGCTCACGGTGCTGAACTAAGCTTTAAGTTAATAGTTTTCGCCTTACAGCACACTTGCTGGTTCAGTCCTAGTGTGAGCAGCAGCTGCAGGCAACAAACGAATAACAAAACTTAGCTGGTAGGAAAGTCAAACATTCAGCAGCTAAAGAGACACATGTTCTTCTGAGGTGTCGATAAAGACCGTGCCAGAGCTAAGAGGAGAGTACTGGACTTCAGCTCATCATGTACTACATTCATTCAGGACACAAACACCACTCTTATGGGATGATAACGATGCTCTGTGTGTGCTGGTGAACTTGGTAAAGTTACAATATGTACAGGGCTGACTGTTTGTCTACTTTGGGGGGGATTTTTTTTTTGCCCCCAAGAGGCCTAACGTCAATCAATATCAGCTTTAAACCATCCTCTTGTTTCATTCTTCCAACCTCGTCTGATCTTACAGCCTGCACTTTTCTAAAGTGATCGATCATTTCTCTCAGTTTCAGGTATACATATACTTGTTGTCCTTCTCCTTGTATGTCTTCTCTACAGCTACTTTCTCATTTGTCAGTCTGTATGATCTTTACTTACTGCTCTTTTCCTCACAAACCTTTACAGAAACATTCCCTTCAAACTGGCAAAAATAAATGCTCGGCAAGTCTTGCATAGCCGGACCATTCTGCATTACAGAATAGACCGGCTGCACCTCTATATAATTTTGCTATACAAGACAAAAAGTACTCTGTTTGTATTTCCTTTAACCGATCACAATCATATCAGGTTGAGCTAAGTGAAGAACGTCGCAAGAGTGTTCCTGCAAAACAGTGACAGAGGGGTTGTTTTGGTGAAACACCTGCATGCAGGGAGGCGAGCATTGTCTTTAAAATGACTAATTCCCCAAATAAAATGTTTTACTGTAGGAGCCAGATCCCCTGCAAAACTTGAGATGGAATGCAGTGTGGTCGGCTGCTGCTCAGATATTAAAGTTTTTTGTGGTGAAGTAGAATTTAGAAACTGAAAGTAGGTACACAAGATTCAGCCTCAAAGAGCTCACAATAAGAACAAGACTTACATTTCTGCGATTTAAAGTTAACTCAACAGTCCTCTCCCTGGTGCTTAATGCTTCCCAGTTAGAACTCCACTGCCTTTCAGACCATGTTGATCTTTCCTTACTCTCTTTCTCTTACGGTGCAGGTACTACTGAATCCAGCTCTACACACTGTGTTTGCAACTGGAAGTGATGTCACATTTTTCCCTACCAAGCCTCAACTTAAGAGAAATCACAAGGGGACTACTGGCATGTAAAGAGCTGAACAAACAAGTGAAATTAATCAAAGCAGCAGGAAAACCTGTAGACACAACTCTGACACATTATCCTATTAACACAGGAGACAAAGCACAACATGATCAGAGTAGTGTTTGTGTCCAACTCGCTGATCCAAGTTCAATAATATACAAGTTCAATATTCTCTCCCCTTTTAGCTCTGTTGTGGGTCTCCAACAACTCCCGACAAAAACATCTGACTCTGGATGTTTTGCTGTTTCATGCTGAGTGCTGAGACTGAATCCAGACGGCACATTTTTTGGGCCTTGAAACCAAAACAACAAGCTAAAAGATGCCACCATGGGTTTCGCTGTACATGCAGTTCTTTTGATCGACTGTTGATGTAAAAATACTGATCAGTCAAGTTATAAGTTGTCGCGCAGCTGACTTTGAACTTTACAGCTTTTGATTCATCACTTAGAGCGAAAAACAAACTGGAGAAAGAAGAAACTAAAGAAACATCTGAGGCACTCAAAAATAACTTATTCTTCGGACTTAATGCGTAAATATTTTTCACTTCTGTCATAATTCGAAATAATGAATACAGCAAATAATCACTGGAGCTGACACAGAATGTGACTCTGAGATTGTTGCCTTTGTTTTTGTGAGTGCTGGCGTCTGGCAGACAAAAGCAGGAGGAGTTGTGAATCCTCCCTAAGATTAGAGGACGAGCTCCCGCTGAGGCCTCGCCTCCGTGTTATTGGCCATGACAGCGCCAGACACCACAGGGGAAGGCAAATTATTTTGGGGAGGGGAGGGGGGGCGGCCTGACAATTACTGTATCCACAAGTTTTCCTGTTTTTCTGCTCACCTGCCTTCTGCGATACTGAGAGGAAGCAGGCTGAGTGCTCCAACAAACTTTGATATAAAAAAAAAAAAAAGCAGCATAGTGTGCTGGCGTCTAACAAGAACAGGGATTACAAGGAAAATAGCATCTTGTCTCAGCAGTTATTTAGTTCTCGTGCAGATCTTTTGTGTTTTGTGGACAGGTTTGGGGTAAAATAATCCCCCCTCTGTGCATTTGACTTGGACCCAAATAAATGCTGAGCCGCATGCTGGCAGGAAACCTACACAAACACACGACAAGATGCAGATGCTAGAGGGAATGTTTCATCTCTCAGTGTCATTTACCCGTCAGTGTCCTGGGTCTCGCTGGCATTGGGGAAAAGAAAAGAAGGTATTAGAGCTGGAAATGAAGCAGGAAGAAAGATACCTACAGGATGAAAATGAGTCCCGCGGAATTAAACCTCGCCCGGCGGCGTGTCACTGCAAATTCTACACGAAAACATGCACAAGGTTTCTGCATAGCATGAAGTATCCGCGATAAAATAAGCAACAATCAATATAAACGCTGGAAAAAACATCCTCAGTTAAAAATAAATGGGATTAAGTATGAAAAGCTGTGATAATCTGCTTCATCAGTGCTGTGTGGATGTGATGTGATTCTGATTTGATTCCCGTAACGGATCTACAAGTCACATTCAATACATTTAATTTAAGTGGAAATGTTTACACCAAACAAATAAAATTAATGCAAACTGACTCAAAACCTAATATCACAAAGTAAAATGCAACATCTTCTAACTGCCAGCCTGAGAGATCAGTTTTGTGCTGTAACCTGCATTGTGTGTCCGTGCATCTGTAAGGGTTTTTTGTAATATTAGTGGTAATACCATGGTCCCATTTCCTCCCTCTCCTCTTGTCTGTTTCTATTTTACTCTATTTTACCTATTCCATACGGCAACTGCATTTACTCCTTTCTCACCTCTTTTGTTTGTGTGACTTGGCTGCTGCAGGGATTAATAAGGTGCTCTGTTGACGTATAGGCTGCAGTGGAGGGTTGCTCCACAGTAGGCGGACAATCATTCATTTTCACCTCATTTTTAATCTGACTGGTGTTGGTGTTAGCTGTGTTCTGTTTGCGACTGGGAATTATTTTACTCTGTTTTGTTTTTGCCTCGGGTGACACATCAATGCTGTCAATTGAATTTCCAGTTGGCACCTGAACTGTGGCGGCAGCGGCATCACAATGTATAAACACTCCATTACAACTGTGAACAAAATGTAATTTAGTAGTATTTAGGCATAATTCACGTTTACTTCAAAGTGTGTTTTTGTCACTAATGTGTGTATTGTGTCTCTCATATGAAGCATTGTACACCAGGTGTGTATGATTTTCACAGAAATTAGACGCCTGGAGCAGCTATCTCGCTAAACGATTTATGGATCTCCATTAGTGGATATTTGCCATCTGACCGAATCATCTGCATATTCATCCATTCGTGTTGAATATTACCAAGAACAACTCAATCTGAGGTAAGACGAGCTTTGTCAGTGTTTGCAGCAGCATTGTAATGATGCACGTGGCTGTGGTGAAGCTACCTGGACCAATTTTATTTACATTTACTTTACATTTTGTTCATTTACAGTGCTGTACTTTTCTGTCAGTATTCAACTTGAAAACTTAAAATCTTGGTTGCAATCTAGGAGAAAATCTTGAATTTTGTTTTCTGAGCTCCTCAAATTTGTTTTATTTGACACAAAAACTGTATCAAATGTTTCCATTTTAAAACATTTTGTACATAATTGGAGGTCGTGCTGTTACTGGTTGGACATTTCTAACAGCAATGAAATGAGAGGTTTATGATAATGGTTTAAGCTAATATCAGCCAAAATCTGACAGGCCAAAAAACACAATTCAGCCTAAAGTACAGTATGAATGATGCCCCAGAATCACATGTGTGTGCTGAAACAGAACCAGGTCAGTATCTTTCCTAAATTCAGGTCACCCCACATGGTGCTTAATCGGTCCAAATGCAAATAAATTCGCCAATTCTCAGCCCAAATCCACACATCCCAAAACCATCCAAATCTGGCTCAGTTTAATCCGTCTCTTTAGTGGGGAAAATGCAATGATTCGGCTCTACAAACTGTTCAAAATGAGTTCATTTTTGAGAAAAAAAAACGTCACTTAATTTCAATATTTTTTCTAAATGTTATTCTCCATTAGACCGTATGTTGATATTGGCCCATTATTACTGAAAATAAACAGAAATTGAAAGCATCCTCAACAGCAAAGCAAGGAAAAAAATCCTTTTATTCTGTCTTTTTAGTCGTGGCAGGAAACATTTGCCTGCAGCAGCATCTGACACAATTCCAATGACAACCAGCCTCTTATCTATTCAAATGGCTGTCCATGCCAAACGATCTGCTCATTTAAAACTTAATGAAATTATCGAGGCTCAGAGGAATGTCTCGCTGCCGCCGCCGCCACCGTGGCCACGCTGGAGATCTGATTACGCTTTAACCCTGCCTCCCCGTTCTCATCCTCTCACTCAAATCCTTTTAACATTCAGACGTATATTTCATGGTTGCTTACCTGATTCCAAGCACATGAATGGCTTTAAATCCTGGGAGTTCGTCAAAAACATGCAGCATCTGCAAAAGAAATATTACTCTTTAACAATGAAAGCATCAGTCATGGCTCTCATCATTCTTCTCCCTTTGCTGAGGCTGATATAATCAACTCTGAGCTGTCAAACAAGAGCTTGTTAGTAAGCTGCCGGTACATCAGTATAAAAACGGACTGCATGAATGGGAAACCCTCATTGATATCTATCTTTGGGCAAGTTAAGCACCTGGACGCTCTTATGACATAATCGTCTTTACGAGCTCCATCAGGTAACATCCTGCTGCGCATCGCGTGCGGCTCTCAATGATCCCTGTGCCTTTTTTAATACACTTTGAAAAAGGAAACAACATTGAGGGACTTAATTTCTCAACATGACTCTCGCTGTGGAGCTTGATAAAAGAAAAACACTGGCGGAAAGTGTGGATTGTGGGTAATCTTCTCCCTTTCCCTGGCCCTGACCCCGCTGCCCTGTGGTGTAAGCTTCTTTACTATCAGCCTGAGCCAGCGCCATCAGCACAGACAGACGGACGCTGGCAGCTGCTGATAGATGGTGGTGACATGGAGAAAAGAGGAAGAGGATGACATGAGATCATTTTCTTAAAGACAATCCTTAGTGACTGACAGTCTCAGATGGATGTCACGCTCGCTGGTAGAAAACATCCCATTCTTTGATTAAAGCACAAGCTAAGGCGGGCCAGTAAGTCCATTTGATTAATTCAATTTTTTTTATGCTTTTTTTGTATAGTGTGTCTACATTGCTAAAACGATTTTTGGCAGATGCATATAAAGCCGATCACAGCAGGTGTCCTCAGCTGAGAGCTGACCAGTGTGTTGATTCTGCTTTGTTCAGCCTGTTCCTGCCCTGTAGCCAAGTAGCCAATGCTAGCATGCCAACTGTGGAGATATCAGGCTGACGTGAGGAAAAAACAAACACTGGGAGAAGGTGAACTGCTGAAATAATGA